GGCATGGAGGGGTCCTGCATTGAGATGGCATTTCTGTGTCTGTGTAGCTCAGTGACACCAAGACTCTCCAAGCCTGTTCTGGTCCCAACCAGGACACACATTGGTATAATTTTATCTGCCACAGATTGTAACACAGTGTCCAGTAGATAATAAGCACTTAATAAGTGCTAACTGGCATTATTACTAACCAAAATAATAATCCAAGAAACTATCCTGACCTGATGTTAGTGGCGTTAAGTATGATCTAGATTCATCAGCACTGGGCAAGGGTCAGGGAGGAAAAGGTGTTGGGAGTGTCACCAAGACCGAGCTCCCCAGACTCTGCCACCCACTCCTCCTAAGTGCCACACACACCGAACCTGTTACACGCGCTCCCACGTTCACATCACAGCTCACACTGGGCTTTTCCCCAGGTCTCTGTACTGGTGCTCCAGGGCCAGCGCTCCTGGAATAGTGGGGAAGGGAGAAGGGGGAGGCAGAGGCAGACACCACAGCCCACCCACTTGCTGCAATCTCAACTTCCCTGAGCAGTCATCAAGAGTCTGTGAGCAGCGGGGCACTGAGCGAATGCTGCCATGAGGAGCTGGTGGGGAGACAGCGTATGGGAGAAGGTGCTGCAGAACTTCTCTGGCTGGTTAGGCTCATGGGGACCATTCCATTTCTTGACACTTGTGCTCTCGCTTTTGTGGATGTGGAAGAAATGACACAATGCCAACTTCAAACCAAACTTCAAAAGGCCTGGCAGTTTTGCTTCCCCAGAAAGCCAGCTAGGGCAAAAAGTCCAAGTAGCCTGAGACCTTCGTGGTGTAAGAAAGACCAAGCAGCCACTCGGAGGCCAGTGGGGCAATGGTGATACCCAGCCATCCCAGCTTGTTCCCTGCTGCGGTGCTACCCGCAAGTGAAGGAAGCACCAAACATCCTAGTCCCTATGTCCCTCATCTACAGAGCCCAAGATCTGCCCAGCTGAGCCCCACACAGAGGGCAGGATCTTGAGAAACAATAAACTATTGTAGGGCTGAGCCACTAAGTTTAGGGACTGTGTACCACACACCAATACGTTGCTGGAAAAGGGCCTGAACCCCTGAAGGAGGGACAGGGACAGAGAATGTTGCTGCCCCCTGGGCAGCTGCAGAGAAACAGATTCTCCTCAGGGCTCCAAGTAAATGAGCCCAAGAGGCTCTACTTTAAGGCCCAAGCGATGAAACAAAAGAGCAAAATCTTCCCCTATTGGTGTACAGACCACAGCCTGGGCTCGGCCAGGACAACTACAGAGACAAACACTTATCCAGCACTTCAGGGGTTGCCTCCCACCAGCAAGACAGGCAGTTTCTTTGGGTACAGGGGCAGGCAGGAGAGGCCACCCTGGAGCAGCTTCCTGGCCAGTAGACATCTAAAAGCTACACGTGGGAGACTGAGATGTGAGAGGACTGTTGAGAGCTCAGGTGGCTAAAGGCCAGGGCCTCCCAGGAAAGGTCAGAGAGACAGCAGTGAGAGCCCCTGTGGTGAGCAGGATTAGAGAGAGGCCAGGAAATGTAAGTCATTACTGTCACTGGGACTTCCTTTATGCTCACTGGGTAGTGTGTCCTTCAGAAATACAAGCAGTAGCAGGAAGGCCTCAAAGTGATAGCCAAGAAAATGAATTCCAGTGCACATGTGGGGGCAGCCCTGGAGGGCTCTGAAGGGGCTTGGTGTTCCTGCCTTGGTGGGCAGAGATGGTTCCCAGGGAACCACTGTTTATTATTGTGCTTCTCACCCTTCTGTGTCTCTCCCAGGCCACTGTCTCCAGGCTGGAGATTTGGAAAGGTCTTTGCTGAAAGGATTTTGCTGAGATGTCCAAGCTTGGCACAAAACCTAATCTTCCAGCTCCTCCCACGAAGACTCTGCCTCTGAGCCTGAATTCTAAATCTAGAAGGTGCTTTCTAGAGCTAAGAGGCCTCCCCAGGCAAGCAGAAACTCAGTCAAAAGAAGCTATGTGCTCTGGCAGGCTGAAGAGCCTTCCTGCAAGTGGGGAGAATGAAACTGCGGGCCTAGCGCCAGGGCCCTGAGCCAGGGTGACGCAAAGAATGCTGCTACTGCCCATACAACTAGCGGGACATCCAAAGATAGCATGTCAGTTAAGAAGTGAGATGCAGCTCAGGGCACAGGGAGAAACCAAGAATGACTCATCAGTAAGACCTACCGAGGGCTGCAAGGTTCACCCATGGCTGGGGAAACAGGCGAGGTGTGTGACATGTGTGGTGAACAGCAGTTTCCTCCCGAACTCTGGGACCTCAGCTAAGCAACTACCTCCTGATTCCTTCTCAACTCTACGGTAGAGTGAGACAGTGGGTGGCTGGGCAGTAAGGTGGCCCTCAATCAGGCAATACAACCCTCTGCCATGGGAAGGGTACCAGTGAGTGCTTCTTGGCTCAAGCAGCTCAGCTGCGGAAGCCTCTTTCCTGACATCAACCTGTGCTGTGTGCCCAGAGAGGTCCCTTTTAGGGTCAGTCCTGCTCCCAAGTCTGGGGTTCAGCTTCTGTCCCCAACACCGGGCTCATCCACACCTCCAGCCTCAGCCTCAGCCTCGGCCTCCACTCCAGCCTCATCTGCATTGAACATGCCTTGTTGGGTTGTAGCAGAGAACACTCAACAGATTCGTATTAAAAATGCCCTTTAAAATTCAAAAGCTTTGAACCAAAGAAATACCTCAGGAAGTTTTCATGGAAAGTTCAGCTCTGCTGGTTCAATTCACTACACTTAGATGCACCTTTTCAAATAATAGGGAAAAAATGTAACAGGGTCAGGCCCAATCAATATGCTTGTTCAAACAGAATTGCAGGGACTGTGATGTGCACACATTTTGTGCTCTGCCTTTGTACCCTGCCACTCTGAAGAAAGGTTCCTTTGCTGGGGGAGCAATGAAAGTGGTAGCCTTTTGAGTGGAGGCAGCAAAGCAATGGCGTGTTTATGGCACCGGGAGGGGCTGCCATTTCTTATGTCTTCCCCAGCCTGGGCTCTTTGTTCTTTTCATCACAACTTGCAACCCACTCTGGCAAAGTCCCTTGCACAGCCAAGCGTCTGATGCCAAGTTGGAAGCTCAGGGCTCCCACCATTGGTCTGCCATGTCTCAGAAATGTGATTTGTGGATTAGACAAATCATTTGCTGCTTCTTTCCCACCCTTGGTGAGAACACAAAGGGCTTACCGTGGACCACTGTGCTGCACCTGTGGGAAACTCTGGGAGCCCAAAACAAGCTCTTGCCAGGCTCAGCCAGGGTCTGTACCCCTCTCCTTCCCTACCCAAGCTGACTGGTTCAGCAAATCTTCTGGCCCCTGAAAAGCAACTGCAGGCAGGCAAATGATTCCCTGGCCTTGGGCTGCCACCTAAAATAGCCAGAGAAATTCCGTAGGGTCCAAGCCAGGCCCTGAAGGCAGCCTGGGCCTTGGGGGAGCAGGAAGGGAGCTGAGAGGCCACTCCTGCAGCCAGGCCCCAAGGCAGGTGGAAGAATGAATGACGGGCAAACACAATGCCTCTGGCCCCATCTACTTCACCTGTGATCACCAAATGCCCGTACGGGGCAACCACTAGAAGAGATTCCAGAGGTTCAAGCAGGGATTACGAAGGAATTTTATTCCCAAACCCTGTTTTGGACACTACATACTGAAGTGCTCTTGGTGGCTCTTCCTAAAATTTAACAGACATACTGAGCCCTACCTGGGCCTGGACTAAAGTTAGAATTAAGATGTCAACAAACAGATATGGATTCCTGCCTCCTTCGGCAATGTCAATCCCATTGTTTAAAACTGCTCAGGCCCTGGGTCCCTGTAAGGAAGGGAAGTTGGAATCGCTGGATCACAGAATTCCCCAGTTGTCTCCACCCTGGAGTGTCCCTGGGCAGCCAGTACTTTACAGATAACACCATCTTACCTCAGGGAACCAGATTCCTCTCAAAGGGTTTCAGAGGGCCAGGCCGCGCTGCCTCGAACACAGGTGCCTTTTCTGAGCATGGAGTGCTTCCTGCTGAGTCTGAGCTGAGGGCCAATCACTCTCTCAGATTGAAATCTGGGCCATGATTCTCACAGAACAGGCTCTCCCTCCTCCCCGATGGCACACTCTGGAAACAGCAGCTAGTTAGTGAGTTGCCATGTTCCTGCATACACGGGATTGTTACATGTGAAAGAGAAACTGTGGCCAACACTATGAAAACCACTGGCATGTTTCCATGGAGAAAATGTCTACAGATGGCTGCACTGTGGGGTTTCTTTCTTTTTTGAGGGATGCCACCACACCCAGTTATGGAATCATCCCCCCATCCCCACCCCTTTCATCTGTTATGGCAACATCTCCAAGTAGTGTTTAAAACTGGAAGGTATTTTTTTTATTTTAAAATTCAAGAAGATCAGTAGCTAAAAGAACAGCAGTATGCTCTGTCCAGAATGCTTTGGTATCTACTTTCTCCAGTTTAAATAGTTGGAAAGTCACTCCAAACCTCGGATGCTCTTCTTGGCAGTGCAGAAAAACTGCCATAACAACAAACTTGGAAACATACACATCCCTCAACTGAACTGGCCTCCTGCCTTCTGTTTTAAACACACATCACAAGTCAAAATGAATTAAACACAAATCCAGTTTGCAATGGTCCGTCACTAACCCACTTCATTGGAACGAGGAGTGGTGTGTGGGTTGGAAGGGGGCCTGTGGCATCCGTCCCCTGTGCCATCTTGGATTGGATTGCAGCATGCCTGCCAAACCAGCCCCCATGGGAGTCCACGGCCCGGCGGCTCCTCAACTGGGGTCCAGCGGGGGCCCCCATGAGCAGCTGCCGATGCAATGCCCAACCTCAGCCCAGGAGCCAGGCCTCCCTCCTCTACCCGTCCAATGGCAATCGAGTGACAAGGAACTGTCATCAGGAGAGACTTTTCGGAGGAGAGCACAGCAGGGGTGAGAGCGGACCATGGGGATTTCCCAAGGCAAAAACAAACAGGCCACTTGCGAGAGAATACAGCCACCAAGAAACAGGAAATGGGTCAGGTTAATATTTTAATCTGTACATCACATTTTGGTTTTGTTTTGTTTTTTGCAAACCATTACACTTTTTATTTAAATTAACTTTTTCTTGCAAAATATTCATTTCATTTTTCCAACAAAATCTTATAAAGGCAAAAATAAAATTTTATTTTGGCAAATGTCATGAAGTTGATACTGGCAGCATATGGAGTTAGTTAAAAATAGACCACAATTTCTAAATATATTCAAGATTCTTTTTTTTTCTGAGCATAGTCACAGACAACTTTTCATTTAAAGTGTGGCTCCACTCAATGGAAGTTTTCGGTTTTTCCTTTTAAACGTTATTTTCTGTATGCAGAACATTGTGAGACGATTTAAACACCGAGCCTGGCTTGGTAGCCTCCTCCTCATTTGGGGCTGGAAGTCAAGTTAAAGTCATGGCGTGGTGGCCTTGCTGGTGACAGGCTCAGCAAAGCTAGCAGAGAGCACACTGTCTACCCGCCTGCCACCAGACTCAAGACCTAGGGACCCCAACTGGAGGTCCTCCCAGGCAGGCGGTAAATGTTCCTGTCATGCTCCTTGGCAGGAAGGCAGTGGTCAGGGATTTTTAGACAGATGCCACCCAGTATGGTTTATTGCTATGATACAAAAGGTGCTTCCTCTCATATCTTCTGTACTTCAAAATGTATTTTTTAATGAAAGGAGGTGCTTCTTTCCAAGAAGAGCCCTTTGCTAAGACAACCTCCTGGGGAGGCCGGGGAGCCCAGAGCTCTCAAACACATTATCGCCCCTAAACCAAAACCAAGGGCCAAGGCACAGACTTGGGCTCCACATGTCCACATGCATCCTAGATGAGCATCACTCGGTGCTGGTCATCAGGTCAGGTCAGGGATGGCTGCTGTCTGCATTGAGGGTCCTCTTTGCTGGTCAGATCACCAGTGAGCCCAACGCTAGAGCCCACAGGAAGCATGATCTCAGATCCATCATCCGCCTGAGTCCCAGGCAGCTGGACTGGCCTCTTGCCCTGTCTACCTCTACCTCCCTACCCATACCTACCACCGCACTAGTACCTGAATCTGTATGTGCAGCTACCAACCCCGCATCCTCACCTTCCCAGCTGTGCAACCCTTGAGGTGAACAGTATAAAATATATTCTGATTCTAAAATACAGTGTCAGTATTTTACAGCATATATCAAAAGTGCCATTGTCACATGTAAAAAGGAGTGTGAACTGGAACAAGTAGGGGTGTATCAGGACCCCGTGGGGGACACCTCATGGCTGATGTGCTGCTCCTTCCTCCACCAGAATCCTGCAAGGAGTCTCCATGGGGCAGAGAAGACAGTCTCCTGGGAGGAGCTGGTTCCACTTGAGCCATTGGGTCACAGGTCTGTCACTGCCTGGGCTGGCAAAAAGCACAGGAGACAATGAGAGACTGGCAGATGCCATGTGAGAGGGCTGTTCACATCTGGGGAGCAAGCAGTGGCATGTGGCACACACATATGACAGGGGATGACAGGCTGACAGAGCAGCAGAGGAGGGGGCTTGGGCTATGTGGCTGCTGCCAAGGGACCTTGGGCTTCCAGGACTCAAGGGCACTGGGCGGACACACACTGGCCCCTAAATTGGGCCTTTGCACAATAGGGCAAAGGGTCTGCACAGATTCTGGGGTCCAGTTATAGTCCTGCCCTTCATTCACTGAATGACTTTGGGGAACTCAGCCTCTATGGCCCCCATCTAAAAATCTAAAAATAAAGTGATCACACCCCCTCCCGGTAATGCTGTGAGGGGAACAGGAACGTGGATGTGCTTGAAAAGTGCATTCAAGGCCAAATGCAAAGCCACGGGGGCACCAAACATCAGGAGACGCAGCCCCGGGTCCTGCTTCTCTGTGCTTGAGCAGTGTCACCCTCTCAGACCTCCAGGAGGAAGGCACACGCCCTGCCTGGCCTTGGTAGGTCCCTGAGGCCTTCACACAGGGCCAGCTGGAGGATTCCCTAGCGTGCTTTGCTTATAGGCTTGCTGCACAGTTCCCAAGATCCTGGTGCAGGTAGACTGGTCTCTTTCTTCTACCCAGGACTGGCCAGGCCCACTGACTGCTCCAAAGCTGGGGTGCACCTGGGCCAGAGGACACCTGCCCAGATCCTGACCTCCCACTCCACTGCTCTCTTCTCCAGACACCTAGAGTGCCGAGGGGTGGCCTGAGGAGTCCACAGGTGGCAATGGAGAACAATGGCTCAGGACTCACACCCAAGGGCTCCAAACCTAACACTTACATGATGTGACTCATGGGGCAAGTCCCTCAAGGTCTCTGAGCTTCATTTCCTCATCTGTAAAAGGGGGGCAGATTATCCTCATAGGGTTGTTGTGTGGATCAAAAGAGATGCTTAGCACAGTGCCTGGTACATGGTAGATACTCAACTAGATTAATCACAAGCAAATTTAAAGGACTGAGAGAGGAACACTTTGCAAATGACAGCAAGGTGGATGTCAGAGGCAGGACTGCCAAGGTGTCCTCTGCCCAGGTGAGGTAATGGCCCTGCAGCAGTGGGCCCAGACCTTACACCCACCCGATGGACCAGACACCAGCCTCCTGGCCGCTGGCCCAGGGCTCCTTCCCTATCCCACTGCCTCTCGTGGCCAGATGTCCACTCGGGGAGGACTTCATGGGGAGGTGCCAGCATATCCTCACTGGCTGAGGGCCAATTTCACGCCAGCCCAGGTTTCTTTTCTCTCTGCCCAAGGTGCTCAGTGACTATAAGGGCAGCTGCATCCTCACTCTGACACCAGTTCTGCGAGACCTGGAGTGAAGCCTCGCTCCTCACTGGACCTCAGTTCCATCATCTGTTAAACTGGACCTGTTTAACTCTTGCAGTTTTTCTTTCTTTGGCAAAAGCCCACAAAGGCCAAGATTCTTTTCCAACCCTGAAGTTCATAGCATGGCCTGTGCTGATCCCTGGGACCCCAGCTGCCTTGGGAAGGACAGCAGGAAGAGTAGGTACAACTGGGGCTCTAGAGAACTCGGTGGGGCGGGAAGTGGTAGCATAGTCTCTACCACATTGGGCCACTGAGGATGAGTTCCTAAAGAGCTCCAGCTCCTGTCCTGGCCTGTCCCCCAGCAGCCGCTGTGCCAGTGGGAGGAAGCATGAGTGAGCAGGACTGCAGTCAGCGCAGCAGCAGCAGCACCAGAAGGAGGAGGAGGGCATGCTGGGTACTAAAGGCAGTGAGTGTCAGGCACACCAGGCAGGGGCTCCTCTTACTTTGATGCTGTTAGACAAAGGTGTAGTGCAGTCCGTTGCTTAAGGGGGGATAAGGTGACACCGTCCTGGAGGACAGGGGGGCTTTTGGCAGGAGGAGGGCCAGCTGCTGAGCTAGATGGAGCACATAGGAATTAAGCAGCATGTTAGACTCATTTGTTCCCCCAGCACCTAGCGCCCAACTTGTCAGAGTTGGGGGTGTGGGTCCTGCTGCCCCCCAAAATGACCTGGACCCTGCCTCCAGTTGATGATCTGTCCGAGAGGAAGAGGGGAACAAGAGCAAGCAAAGGTGCAGGAGGCCTTCCCCGAGCGGGAGTGGAAGAGGCCCAAAGCTGACCCAGGGATTTAGGGCTGTGGTGCTCCACGTTGGTGGCAAGGAGGCGAGGGTGGCAGATCCAGAGTTAGAGCAAGCACGGCAGAGGAGGGGACACTGAGGGGAGGAGCTCAGAAGGTGCTGAGATGAGCCCCAGGCCACTAGGAGGAGGGGTCTGGATGGCTGTGTCCTGGGTCCCTGGCCACACTGCCACACTGACCCCTCTCAGCACACTCAGCACTTCGTGAAAGGAGTAAGGACCTCAGGGATTTGGGGGGCTCAATGTGGGGTCAGGGTATGAACAGGCTCCTGTGGAGACTCTGGCCCTCCCCTTGTCACCACTCAACCCCGGCTTCCTCACACCAGACTCCTCAGGGCCCCAACCCTGCCGGCCCCACCACTGTCCACTTCTAGACCCTTCGGCCAGGGTTGGAGGACACCACTGCAGGCTCTATGCTATCTCCAGCCAGGAAGGAGAACCCCAGGCCACCTAGACACAGTGGCCTCTGCCACTGGGAAGAAACAACACCAGCCAGACTGTGGGGAGGCCTGGGTGCAGGGAGGAGCCAGAGTCCCTCTCCTGGCAGAGGAAAAGCAGCCTTTATAACACACATGCACGCACACACACACACACATGCACACACACGCACGCACACATGCACACACAGACACGGGCACATACATGTGCTCCTACCCATGGTGATGTTTTTTGAACTGCCCAGCAAAGCCCTCCTTTCCAAGTCCCACTTTTTGGCACAGGGCACTCTGACAAGGTGAGCAGTGGCTTTGGTTTGGGGCCCCAAGCAGGGACCCCAAGGGGAGCTAGAAGGGCCCCTTTCTGCCTTGCCCAGCAAGGAATCGAAGCACCTAGGGCTCTTCTGCCCCATTCTTCATGAGGAAACAAACTAGCTCACTGGCTCAAGGGTCTGGAAAAACTTGAAGTTGAAGAACAACACCATTTCCTCGGGGACAGAACGTCCTCATCAGAACTCAACTGCCAAATACCACTGACTCTCTGGCCCTGGGTCAGGCCAGCCTGGGCCCCAGGGAGCAGTGGGTAGCCCTGGGCCTCAGAGCTGGCACCAATGGCCTTACCTGCCACCTGCTTGCTGCGCTGGGAGGCTTCAGAGGCCAGGGCATAGGAAATATTGATGATGCGCTCCTGCTCCTGCAGCTGGGAGTCCAAGTCCACCAGGCTGTTTCGGTCCTGGGCTGCTGAGGGCTGGAGGTTACACATGCTGCAGGGGTGCAGAGAGCAGCCGTGGGCCCTCGCTGCCCTGAGCACTTGCCCCAGGGTGGAGGTTTCTCTGGCCTGGCAGTTCTCAACACTTTGGTGAACAGAGATGCAAACTGTGGCCTTTCTCCTAGGACAATTTATGCATCACCCCAAATGATCCAACAATCAGGGCTCTGCTCCCCTTTCAGAAGGGCCACAGGGTTCCAGTTAAGGGCTGCAGCTAAACGTGCCTGTTGAATTCAGACACAAAATGGCTAACATAGTTCTGAATGGGAGGCTCACAAAGAAGTTTTTTAAGCTATAGAGACTACTGGAACAGAAAAGACTCTCCTAGGGTCCCAGCCCAGTGTCCAGGGAAGTAAGTGACAAAGCCTCTGGCCCCTCAGGACATGGCCAGAGCTCTGAGCTCTCATCTGCAGGTCTAAGGGAAGGAGCACAGCCACAAGGGCTGGGACGGCCATGGCTGGAGCTGATCTCTGACAGGGTCCATTCACTGCCACACTTGCTCCACTTCCCATACTTGCTGGGTTCACTAAGTACAGATTTTGGGGTGAGGGCCCTCTGTAAGTATCTCAGGTCTGTGAGTATCCGTCACTGATATGAGTATTGACCTGCCCCCTCCACCGAGTGGACAGAGGCAGGCAAAACATGCACCCAGCCAGCCCAGCCCAGGTCCCAGTGTGGCTGAGATACAATTTGGGGTAGGGGTGTGGGTGGTCACACCCAACAAGCAAGGGCTGACCTTGACCGGGTGAGGATGTTGCGGATCTTCTCAGCTTTGCGGTAACGTGCCTGCAGCTCTTCGAGGCTAGGTGGCTCTTCGGGATCCATCTCCACATAGCGCTCAGGGATGGAGACTTTCTCTGGTTTGGACAGCTGGGAGAGGACCAGGAGTGGAGGGGGAGGCTCAGATGTTCTGGTCTGGGACCTGTTTTCCCCCTCCTCTCACCATGAGAAAGGGAACAGAACCCACAGAGGCAAAGTCACTTGCTAAGATCACAAAACCAGCTGTAGAACTGGGATTTGAACCAAGGGCCAAGGCTAAATCCTGCTGCACCAGATAAATCTTCTACAGGCCAAGAGAAGGGAAGAGCAAGGCCAAACAACTGGACTAAAAGCTCTCAGGAGAAAAACGATAATCCTTAGGGCTCCCCTCAAGGTCCTATGGCCTCATCCAGTGCCCCTCCAACAGGGGCCTGGCTGCTCCCTTCTTCAATGACTCCCTTCCTTTTAATCTCAGCTTGAACAGCCTTCCCTGGTCCCCTCCTCACCCCCACTACTTATTCACATTCTCATCATCTCTGTCTCCTACTGACTAAAACAGGGACCTGGCCCTTAGCGGCCTTTCAGCAAATCCTTCTCCAATGGCTGGATGGACAAAAGGAGATGATTCTGCTTTCTGCCCTAGAACAGCTCCTCTGATCTAGACAGGAAGCTGCTATACTGTATCTTCTGCTTTCCAGGACAACCCCAGGAATCACTCACCCAGTGGCAAACTCAGCTTTCTGAAATCTTGCTCAAGGCTAAGAACACTAAAGGCAACTTTTGCACACCCACGTTAAAATGGAATCGGCTAAAGCTCCCAATAACAAGCTAAATAGTTCCAGGGCAAAACTGGTCTTGGATTTGTCAAGGAAAAAAAAAATCAAAATGGAATAGCATTCCTTCAGAGCACTTAAAATAAGGAGAGCAGCTATGAATCAGATCTCACACATCTGGAACTGGTCCTTTACCTGGAGTGCAGACGCCCACCTGGATGCGAGCTAACCTTTAAACATCGTTAATCTCTGCTGACCTCTGTACAAAGATTTCCCCAAACTACCCTGAGACTTGGACCACACCCAACCCGAATCTGTTTTCTTGGACTGAAATCCTAATTGGCCCCAAGCAGTTTTCAATGTTCTTGACTAGGTTGATTTTACTCTTGGTTGACAGATTAAACCTACACAAGCTTTTACACTTTGCTAAAAGATGGTAAGAAATAAGCAATCTCTCTCACTTCCCAATGAGGGCAGCTCTGGAGGAAGTGAGTAGATTACATTGTAGGAGGAAGGATCTGGGTTACAGATAAGGGAGGACTTTTTCCCTGGGTGGATGGGCAGAGCACACTGCCAATGCAGCCAAGGAGGCTTCTTTGTGAATCTGAAAAACCCCAGATCTTTTGCTGTTTCAGGTGCCAAAGAGAATAGGTTTTGGGGCAGGGCCTTCTTAGGCCTCAAAGCCCCAGCTGACCCCAGATCTCAGCAACTGGGAAGCGTGTCTACTTGCCCTCACAGTGCTCCTCAGTTCTCAAAGACCCCCTAAATCCATCCTCCACATGGTGAGAACTTTCATCTCTGGTAGGTTCAAGGCAGGCCAAGTCTTTGGACAAACATTTCTGGGACATTTATAGGCCACTGTGTGATTCATTCAATGAAGTCTTCCTTCATCAAATATTCACAGAGCATCTACTATGTGTCAGGCCCAGTCCCAGGGACACACACACAGCAGCCATAAACACTTCCCTGCAGAGCATACAAATGACACAACACAGGCCACAGTGGACCACTGGCATGGATGGCCTCTTTTGGGAGTTCCCCCTTCTTTTGGGTACAGCTAGTTACTTGCTTTCCTGGGCCTGCCATTATGATGCATGTAGGCCACCAGAGGGCGGCAGAACACAGCCCAGAACTGTGCACTGTCTCCGTGTGTTTGTTGGTTAAGGCTGGAAATTTTACCTCTGATTTTCAAACTCGCCCAGTGTTTCCCCTCAGGCCTGAAAGTCCAAGTCAGCCTGACCGGCTAGTTGCAAGGTCAACTCCTGGAGCTCCCAGGAGCATTTGCTAATGATAGCAACTTCTGAATCAACAACCCTAGTATGTGTCAGGCTTTCCCTTCACTGCTAAACCTGGCGACATGTTGAGTCACTTATCGTCACCAATCCAGCTTCACCGTTGAGGAAACTGAGACAATGAGAAGTTACAACTATAATTTGTCCCAAATTACAGGGCCAGATTTGAACTTTCATCTAAGCACTTGGGTCCAAGCTGCTATTCATCCAGTCTCCAGGCCTCAGTGGAGCTGAGCCTTGTGCCCCTCAGAATTATACCACATTGGGCAGGTCTATCAGTCTGGGACCCCAAAGGCCATGCCTCCTGGGGGCATGTGAAGGAAGCCCCTGCCCTCACCTCTCTGCTGATGTCCAGGTCATAGTCTTGTGGTTCCAGGTCCACCTCCGTGACAGGCATGGCCTGCACTTTCAACCAGCCATTCTCCTCCTTGTCCTTCCTTTCCCCTTGCATGGCCCGCTCCAGCAATTGCAGGTCAAAGTCCTGCTCTCGCTTCCACTGGCAACAGAACAAGAGGGTTAATCGCAGTCACTTCTTGACTGCTGAGAGGTACGCTGATCCCCTTTCTGCATGGGCCACATGGGAATGGGGCGCTTTGGAAGTTGGATCTATGACCCAGAAGGGGAAAGGTGGGTGATGTACCTTCGCCTATCATGAATAAGATATCTCTCCCTTGCACATGGCTTGTCCCAGACTGCCAGTTTCTCTCTGACCTGGGACCACCCTTGGGTCATAGGTGACTTTAGGCTCACAATGATCCTTAGAGATGCAAAGTGCGCAAAGGTCTGAGAGGGTGACTCCAAAACAGAACCAGGCACGGGGCTACAGGGAATGGATCTGCCCTTTCTGCCAACCCACAGATCATAGAAGGCTTCCTGGCACAGGAACCAGAAATAGGGGAGAAGATAAGCCCTTCATGGCCGAGCAAGTGGAATAACCAAGGGCCTCTCTGTTGGGGGTCCCCACAGGTCCCATTCAGGCTGGGGGATACTGTACCCACATGACCAGGGAGGTAGGAGCAGTTTGGAGCCAGTGAGGCAGATAAACTGTTAAAACAGCATCTATGTGGGATAGATATTTTAAACCAAGGGAAAAAATTGTGCAAATCTGAAATGCTAAATCAAATAGTTCCAAGGATGTTTCACAGCATTAATTTTGTAACAAGCATCTCTTTACAAGAAGGAAAATCTAACCCAATCATTTTAAGATCCAAGCATGACAATGATGGCTTCCTGTTAAACCAGGCCCTGTATCTTCATAGGCCTTTGACTGCCATGCAGACTGGTAAGAACAGAACAGGCTCAGAGACTCTCTCAAGTGGGAGGAGCGCATACTCATCCCAGGCCTTCTCCTTCTTCCCACCCCATGCACTCCAAAGCCCCAAGCAGTCATGATCATTATTGGCCCCAAGTCCCTCCCAAACCCCAGCCCCACTGCCACATCAACATATTTCACCCATTCACACACAAGCTCTCAATACTGACTCCAAATCAATGTTATTGCTCTTGGTTGATGGTTTTCCAATTATAGTTTTAAAAAGATTAGGCAATTGAAGATCAGGGATGAATTGATTTAATGATTCACAAAGAAAAATCACATTTTCGTACATGCTCACAAGTGCTCCAAATAGAGACCAGTCCTCATTGAAACCCAGCCTGATTGTTTCCAGACAGAAAAAGTTCACTAGACTCTAACGTATCCTAGGGAAAAACCACGCCAATCCATTGTTAGTAAGCAACATGTTTATTGGCGCTGATGCAGAGACTTACAAAAGTCTTTTATGAGAGAAATTACAAGGTATTGAAGTTTTGATTTTTAGATAATCTCTACATTTGAGACATCAGGTTGTAAAATGCCAGTGTTACTCCATATGATGTTTGCTTATAAAGTTTAAAAGTTTCCCGGTTTGTAGCTTTTAAACATATGACTGTCCTGTGACTTACCTTTTGATGTCTAAGCTAACAGCTGTAGAAAGGCCCCCTGAATACAAAGTTTATTTTGCTATGCAGTCAAGTTATTAAATATAAGAAAAATAAGAAAGAGGTTTTCCTTAAGAGATTGAGTGATGGAAGTGGAAGAATTAAACCGAACACACTTGGCTGTGGTGAAACTTATTCAAATGTGCATCTCTGGAGTCCATGTTTACCACCCAGGCATAAGGCATGGCTTTGGCTAATTTCATGATGCCCAGACCTCTGCCAATGACTGTGGTCCTTAGGCAGCAGGCTGGCTCAGGCTGCGGAACGGCTCTGGGGGCAAGTGAGTTGTGAGTCAGTAGTCCTGCACCAAGGAGGGCAGTGGAGAGGTGAGTCACATCTGGGGGTGATTGCTAGGCTAGGGAGACAACAGCTACTATTACAAGCCTGGTAACAAGCAGCACAGGCCAGTTAGACAATATTCAATGCAAACCAAAAGCTTCTGTAAACACAATCAGGCAGGATTAGAGAGGCAATGAGCAGTAATTCTAAAAGCAAAAGAGCTTGTGCAATGAATAAGGGAAAGAACAGTCAGGGTAGAGGTCTGGGGAAATGAGGGATTTCAAATGGAAAAGTCAAATGGAATGTTTCCAAACAGGATCTAAGATGGCTCTGAGTAGGTGTAGCACCAGGGAGCAGCACCAGGGAGCAGCACCAGGGAGCAGCACCAGGGGGCAGCACCACTACCTCTGCTCTCCTGGGCACCTGTGGCCTCTCAGCATCCGGGGTGGTGGAAGCCCACCAGCCAGCTCTAAGGTTGTGGGGCACCAACCCTTGCTTGGTTGCCTCCCCTTCCAAGGATCATCTTGGAAGTGTGGGAGGCTGGTTGGTTGACTGGCTTGTGCTTCTATCAAATCACATCACCAGCTTCTTCCACTACCCCTTGAACCCTATGTTCCCAAATCCTTAGCTCAGCTGGCTCAGCTGTGGTGTCTGCAAAGGGCCCTCCCAGGCATAGCTGGGAGAACAGGCTACATACTGTCTCCAGGTCCCATGCCTCTGCTGCGAGATTCTCCTGTTTCTGCTCCACTTCTGGGTTACTCTCTGACCAGCTGACAAATGCAGCCAGGGTCAGGACAAATATTCCCCATGGGATGTCCTCTCAGCTGGCTGGGTCAACGAACCACCTACTCAGGTGACGTGGTTGGATTCAGGGGACCCATGTTAGCTCCACTCAGCTCAAGGGGCAGCTTTGCTCCCTGCCCCAGCCCGCCTGCCTAACATACTGAGCCCAGGTCCCCAGGGAGCAGCTGGCCAAGATAGCTCGCTGAGGCCGGGCCTGTCCTCTCTGCTTGGCTCAGTGTTCTCTTGCGCTCTCGGACTAGGGCCTTCTGGTGCCGCTTCATGCGCTCCAGCTGCTCCTCAGCACTCATCTTGCCTTGCTGGTGGTCCCCTGAGTACAGACGCTCCAAGGCACTCTTGGGTCTCTGAGGAGGAAGAGGAGGCAAGACAGAGAGACTGGACTGGGAGCAGAGCAGACAGCCGCCCCACTGGCTTCACCCTGTTCCTGCTCTCTCACTCTCCAGCTGGGCTCCTCTTGGCCACAGAGAACCACTTCCTGTAAGTCCCCAGTGTCCCGGCCTCATGAGTCTTCTGGGCAACAGCCACTCTGCAGGCACAGACATGGAGACCCAGGTCTGTCCAGGTGACAGCTCATGGCAGACCAGTGAGCCTGGGTGCGCTCCTTCCTCTGACCCTGACACACTGCAGTTTAAGTGTGGGCCATGGGAAATGGGGAGGGCAGAGTAATGGCCTTCCCAGTGGGTAGTGGGTCACAGGAATCCTGAGCTCCTGAGAGGCTGAGGTCACCTCAGAGGTCATCCTCGGTGTCACAGGATCGCTAGTTATTGTCCAGCTCTGAGACGCCCTCCCACACTGGGGTGAAGGAACAGTGAGCTCCCCCATAGCTCAAGGCCACTCACAGGGAAGGTCATCTTGCCGCTTTCCGCATTTAGACCCCTCCGGAGCGTGGCGTAGGGCGCAATGGTGGATGACTGCTGGAGCCTGGACATGGACCCCGAGAGCCCTTCATGAAGAAAGCAGAGTCAGGTGCACTGTGGTGGGGTGGACAGTCCCAGGCCAATCCCTAATCACCCCCACTCCCAGGAGGGGCCAAGAGGGCTCAGCCAACCATCCACTCATCTTTCTCTTCACGGCCTGGAAGAACAAGGGCCCAAGTGGAGGATTTGGGCAGCCCAGGGGTGCCCTCTGTCTTCAGTGGGAGATGGTGTCCTGGAGATCTGTGAACTACCCTAGGCTTCCCCTTCATGCGGCTGTAGGGCAGGTGGAAGGCTGGAGGGATGAGCATCCCCTCACCCTTCTGCTTCCTGACACTTTCACATATCCTACACAACCCAACTTGGGGTAAGGAAGGAGAGCAAGAGGGGGCCCAACCAAGGAGAAAGTGTGTTTAAGAAGGGATTCACTAGTTTTAGGGTAACACAGAGGAAAAGCCCTCTGGAAGGCCGAAGATGACATTGCTGGTGGCAGTCGCCCAGCACCCTCACCTGCGGGCTGCAGTGGCCTGGAGCCAGCGCCCCAGGACTGTCTTCTGATTTCCTCACTAATCAGCAATTGGCAAGGTATGTAATTTCTCTGAGCCTTAGCTCCTTGATCTCAAAAATGGGAACAATAATACTTCCCTCACAGCATTGTTGTGAATATGGGGATAGATGAAGTACTTTTACAGTGACTGCTATCATCATAGTTTCTAGGGACAGGTGGAAAAAAAGAGGACAGAGTCAGGACACAGACTAGAGGACAGACCAGTGGCCCAGACCAGCTACAGGCAGAGGGTGAGGGCCTGGGCTGCGGGCTGGGGGCAGAGAGGTGCCAGTGGTGGGGTCCCCTAAAGACTCCACAGAAGGTCTTGCCTTACCTCGGCCAGGAAGTGTCTGGTACCTGCTCTCAGGACCCACGAGTCCCAGGGAGGGCTGAGCCAGGTGCCCAGTGATGGTGGCCAGCTCGGGCTCACTAACAGATGACCGGAGCTCCACCTACAGGCACAGTCGGAGGCTGTCACACCCACCCAGCGTCACAGCACCTTCCCCACGCGCAGAGGCAGCCTCAGGGGTCCTCTGCCCACCTTCGAGTCCCCATTCACACACTGCCCCAGCTCCCGGTCTCGCTTCCTCTCGTCCGACTGCCGCTTGAGGCCCCTCACAGAAGTGTGCCGGATGATGGTGGCCTCCCTTGGTAGAGGGGGCACAGCAGGTGGCTGGTCCTCTGGGCTGTAGAGTTCGGGAAGCGGGGGCCTAGGAGGTGCCTCATCTTCCTGCTTAGAAAGAAAAGCAGAGCCAGTCCTAGCAGGTCAAAGCCAGAGGGAGGACTGCCAAGTGGCACTGCCATAGCAGTAGCCCAGCGGACAGAACTGGCCACCTCCGAGCCACAGAACATGAGCACTTCAGCCCCAGCAAGTGAACATTTCCTCTGGAGGCGCTATGAAGAGGGGAGATGCCTGTGCATCAACTCTTCTGCTCTGATTTGTACACTTTTTCCCCCAAGTGCTCTCTATACAGATCCAAAACATAGATGTCTCCAGATCCACGACACAGGCCTTCTGAGTCCACGCTCTTCTGCTTTTAAAAAATCTCCTGTGTCCCCAGACCCTGTCAAGAGCTTGCTCTCTCACTATGGCAGGCAAGCCAAGGCCTTGCCCAGCCCACCCATGGGCCACAGACCTATCTAAGGACCTGGGCTGGAGGGTCCAGTTAGATGGATGGTAACAGAGAATAAAAGAGAAGAGCCAGGAGATGTGGTTGGAAATCACTAACATGGAGACCTTTAGCAGCTTTCAACACCTTGGGGCTTTAGTTTTCGTCTCCATGACAGGATACTGCCCTTCTTGTACATACACCATGAGGTTATGGGACATTCACAAGCATCTGCACAGCCCAGCATGGTGCTCAGCTTCTGCTGGAAGGAGCTACCTTCCCTGCATGAAGACAGCCTTGCAGACAGCCACATAGCTCTACAAATTTGCCCCTATTCAGAACAGTCACTACTTCTTGCTTGCCCTCAATTGTCCCAACTGCAAAACAGGAGGGTTGGGGTAGACCATCTCCCAGAGCTCTGCCAATCCTGAGACCCTCAGCTCCTTCCATCTCCATTTTCCCAAGAGCCGATCCGCACTCTTAAGGCAGCTGATCTGAGGATAGAGAGCAAACGAAGGCTCTCAGAACCTCATTACCATAGCTTACCACTTTGGGTTTTGTCTTAGTTGGTGACTGAAGGGGAGATGTCACTTTCCTCAGCTGGGGTGGGTGAGGTCGGTAGGGCACATAGGTCTGCAGCTGTGGGAACAGCCGAACTTCCAGAGGGGTCCGCACTGGGCTGGCAGGAGGGCTGGGCTGCAGGGGGGACTTGCTCTCCAAGGTCAAGGGTGAAGGCACAGGCGGGTGAGGGAACAAAGGCACCGTTTTTCTCTCTGAGGGGCACAGAGGGATATAATGAAGACCCTCTTCATGGAGGGCAAGTCAGCACCACAGAGACTCAGGTGCACACAGCAAGGACGATGGCCCCTCACCAGGATTTCTGACCGATTCCACCAGGATTCTGTAGTTCTCTTTATTAGCACTCAGACCTGCAAGGACATCTTCAATCCTCCACAGGTCCTTCTGTATCTGCGATTTCTCCTAGAAAAGACAGAGCGATGGCCTGGTTTCTTGTTCGCTCCTTATTAGAATTTTCTTCCCAGGGCTTACTCTGCCATTTCACAGTCTCTCACCTTGTGGGCAGCGTCCTGGAAACTGCACCACACTAGAGCCAAGCTATTCACAGCCTCCCAGGGGAGGGCAGACATGGAAAATGCTGAAGACCTAGGGAGTTCCGCAGTAGCTTTTACTACTTCAGCTTGTCTATTTCTACTTAATGTAAAACTTTAAATACTTTAGGATTCCATTTACTCTACGAAGTGTTCAGGGTTTTCATACAGACAGGGAGTGGAAAAGGTTGTCAGGAGGGAGGGAGTGGAGGATGGGGAGATGTTTAAAAATTTTACAAGGTGAAAATTTGGGAGACTAAGTACAGTACACAAAAATGTGAATGTACTTCACATTGCTGAACTGCACTCTTAAAATAGTAAAATAGTAAATTATGGTATATTATGTGTAGTTTACCACAATTTTAAAAAATACACTGTCTCATGCAACCACTGCAGAAGGGGAGGGAAGGCAAGGACTAGAGGACAAGGCAAGGCCACCATCACTAGAATATAAAGAATATTTCTTAGAAGTCAAAATAGAATCCTGGGACTTGCAGTTCAATTAAACGTGTAAGGGACAATGGAGTATTATTTGGCCACAACATAGATGACTCTGAAAACTTGCTAAGGGAAATAAGACAAACACAAAATGCCACATCTTGTATGATTCCTTCTATATAAAATGTCCAGAAGAGGCAAATCTATTGAAACCAAAAGAGGATTAGCAGAGTGGGGAACTGGGGGAAAGAGGGGGTTAGTTAAGGGGGATAAAGTGGGTACAAGACTTCTCTTGAGGGGTGAAGATGTTATCAAACTGATTGTGGTAACAGCTACACAATCATGTGAACATACTGAAATACACTGAGTTGTATACAGTACTTTAAAAGGGTGAATTTGTGATATGTGAATTATATGATAAAGCTGTTTTTTAAAAAAAACTTCAGGGCCCGGGGATTTAGCTCAGTGGTTTCAGCGCCTGCCTCGCAAATACAAGGTCCTGAGTTCGATCCCCAGTACCAAAAAATAAAAATAAAAATAAAAATAAAAATAAAAAAAACTTCGAGAGAAAAAGAGCTACATTATATGATCATATGCAGTTCCAATTAAAATTGGATGGAAGGAGGCCCTAGAAGAGGTGAAGAGAAGCCTAATGTGGTTAAAGGATTGTGGCTCTCTTCTAACGGTTTGTTTTTGTTGTTGTTGTTGCTTTGGTGGAGCTGGGTATCAAACCCAGAGACCTTGCTCATACTAGATAATAAGCACTGTACCATGGAGCCACACCCCTACCCCAGAGCAAATAATAATCTTTTTTTTTTTTTTTGGTACCTGGATCAGACTCAGGTCCTTGCAGTTGCGCAGCAGGTGATGAAACCACTGAGCTAAATCCCTGGCCAAGAGCAAATAATCTTTTGACTTTGAAATTATACTGGAGAGGAGGCAGACTTGGTCCCACCCCACAGACTGAAAGAAAAGCTTTTCTGCTCTCCAGGAGACCAGCTGCCCCTGAACTGGAAGGGTTTTCACACTGCATGATCCCTACTGATGCACCTGATTTTGCATTCCTGACTACCTGCTCCCGGGTACATCCCCCACAGGGGCTGGTACTTAGTGGGTTTCCAGTGCATGTGAGTTGGATGAACAAAGGACCAATCATGTATTATCCAGTAGCCACAGCAGCAGATGTTGGAAGACTTCAAGCCAAGGGAGGCATGTGCTCCTACTCTCTGCATCCCAAAAGCAAAGACAGCCTCAAGAGCTGACAAGCAAAGCATGGGCATGTTACTCAGCTCCACACTCAAGACAGGCAGGTGCACTGCTGGCCCCAGAGTGCCTAAGGTAACAGGGAATGCTCTGCTGAGTGCTGGAAGCAAGTTAAGGCTGAGAATAAAGGCTCTCTCTCCCTTTTCCATAGCTCCTCATCAAAGCTCCTGTCAGCCCACACTTCTGCCCCAACCCTGCCTTTCTGACATCCCCACACGTAAAAGCAGAGCAGAGTGGAGCAAAGGCTAAAGTGTCTTTATCTTTCTCCAAGACTGATGAAATTCTGTAACTTGATGATGAGGTGGGATGCAGGGGGCTTTGGGAGAACAAGGAGATGGTATTTCACTTCTGTATTCTCATACGAGCTGGGCAGGAAGGTTCCTATGTAATGCCTTCAGCAAAGGCTGGGACTCACTGTCTACAAGTTGGGAGCCCCTACAGGTAGCTTCGCCTATCACCACCACTCACACTGCTTCCTGGATGTTCCCTCTAGCTTCCCTGATGCCCAGGCATTTGTGATGACCTTAAAAAATAATGCCATTCCACTTTAGTGAAAAAACTGGATTTTTTCACAGCCAGATAAATCTGGCTAAAGTGAGGGGAGTTTCCAAACCTACTTACTAAGAATTTCCATTTGGGCTGCAGCCATACCTGCAGTATGATCTAACTAGAGCACTGACAACCTGCCTGGCCTAGGATTATAACAAAGAAGTTAGCACAGAACCTGGTCAAACCAGGGCTTCATGACTTCCTCAGTCATTGAGGAACTCAAGGAAAAATGAGCAATGTGATGAGCTTAAACAGAAACCAAGCCACAGTCACCAGGCTCCAGGCTAACCTATCTGCTAGAAACTTACACAGGTAAATCCTCTAGGGAATCTGTGACAAGATCTGTTACCCTGTCCTGACTTGTGTTTTGGAGGGGGCAAAAGATTCTTGGCCAACTATATATATTGAATCACTGTGCAAGAAAGCACAGAAGAAACACAAATGGCAAGTAATCACATGAAAGGTGTTTAACCTACCAGTGATTAAATAGATTAAAACAAGGTATCATTTTTTTTTAGCCAACAGACTGGCAAAAAAAAAAAAAAAAAAGACTGATAACACCAAGTTCTGATAAGGATAAAGACAAATATGATTAAGTGTTCTCATTCACTGTAAGGGGGAGGGTAAGTTAGTGCAGCCTATTGTTACAGGGTGATTTGGCAATATTTGTCAACATTTTTTGTATTTAGAAAAATTTTAACTGATACAAAAATATATTAAAATTGTATGTATTTATGGGGAACCACATGACATTTCAATATGTGTATATACATTGTGTAATGTTTAAATCAGGATAAGCACATCTATTTCCTCAAACATTTATTATTTCTTTAGGGTGAAACATTCAAAATCATTTATTCCATCTTTTTGAGATATATATTATGAGACCATTTCTATGGTCACCCTACAGTGGTAATTACAACTTTTAAGACATGAATTCATTTCAATTCCACTCCTAGGAGCCTATCTTAGATAAATGCTTACAAATGAACTCAGACAGGCAGTTGGTTGGTTGTTTACAATAGCATCATTTATAAAAAGCGAAACACTGGAAATAAATGCCCAGGAGAAATGGCTCAATAAAGTAGGGAATATTCAGACTATGAAATAGTAAGTACCAATTAGTAAGAACTAATTTACTTAAACTGGCCCTATAACTATTCTATAACAACAACAACAACAACAAAAGAAACTTCTATAATCCATGCTGTAATTTATATTTACATTTAAATAGCTATTTTGGGGGGTAAGCACAAATTTAGGGGATCATTCCACAACATAAAGTTATGACAAAAAAGCAAGTTGCCCAACAATGTTTATGATCTCACTCTTTAAACTTTTTACTTGCTCCCAATCCCAAACAAATGATCTGATTCTATGCAGGTGCGTATGTTTCCTTGGAAAGGCATAGAAAAGGGACACGAAGACAACATCATAAACGGATAGCATGGACTATATGTAGGAAAGGTGATGGAATGGGGGTGGGAGAGATGGGAAGAGGAACTTTAGTGTTATTTTATGTTTTTGCTTCTCACTGACCCGTGCGTGTGCACGTGTCTGTATCTATGTGTGTTTTACTGGGGATTGAACTCGGGGACCCTCTACTACTGAGCGATACCCATAGCCCTTTTTAAAAAATTTTAAAATTTTATTTATTTATTTATTTGGTACCAGGGATCAAACTCAGGACCTTGTGCTTTCGAGGCAGGCAGCGGAACCACTGAGCTAAATCCCCGGCCCAATTTTGAGACAAGGTATCAGTAAGTTTCCCAGGCTGGCCCCTAACTTGTGATGCTTCTGCTTCAGCCTCACAAGTAACTGAGATTACAAGTGTGCACCACCATACTCGGTTCACTGTTTGGCCTTTTAATACAGATGTATTCATGGATTACTTGTATAATCACAGAAAAATAATGAAAAGCTATTAAAAATAGTACTAAAATTAGTGTGCTCTTATTTTTTTCTCCCACCCTGGGGATGAAACTTACATGCCAGGAAAGTGTTCTACCACTAGCCATACTTCCAGCCCTTAGTGTGTATCAGAGAATCCCAAGAAAATAGATACAAAAGGTCAGGATAGCTCTAGGACCTAGTAACTAGAAACAACTGATGGAAAGACTTTGTCAACAATATTTGCCTACTATTTTCAAGCCATTATGCTAAGTGTTGGGGATACAAAAAGAATAGGAAAATGTTAGCTTGCATGAAGGGAAATTATGGGGGTGGAGAGTACAACAGCAGGACACAGACAAGTTCTGGGGAACCTCTAGGTCAGCCCTGAGCCTGAAGCAAGAGTCTCTTCCACGTGGTTCTGGGCTGGGCTCTTTGGGAACCACCTCTGAGTGAGCAGAGTCCTTGGGAAAGCTTCAGGACACATAAACCTAAACTCCCTCCAGAATCTTTCACTTTTCTAAGGTGAAGCTAATGTCCAGAGTCTCTATATATTCATTAAGTCACATGCATGAGGAGCCTGGGCTACAACCAGTCATCAACCAGTAAGCCCAGCACCAAAACTGGTATAGCATGGTGCCTCCTACCCAAGAAGTCTCCATGAATGCTCGCTGAATTCAAACAAATTGAATTTCTGTCAGGGCCTAGAAAGGAGGAGATATATATGAAGCTGGGTTGGAAATCAGGTTATTTTCCATTTTTAAAATTATGAAAGGGAAAAATAAATAAATAAATAAATAAAATAAAATAATGAAGGGGACCCGGGGATTTAGCTCAGTGGTTCTGGCGCCTGCCTTGCAAGCACAAGGTCCCAAGTTCGATCCCGGGTACCAAAAAAAAAAAATTATGAAGGGGGGATGGAAGCCTGGTTAGGCACCACAATGGGGGAACATGGGGCTTCTGGGGAACCTAATCTGAAGAAAACTCCCCAGGGCCTTTCACTGGCTCACCTGTGGGGGACAGAGTTTACTATATACTTGGTGGCCTGGGCTTTAAGCTCTAAGGCAGCCTTCCCCAAGTGGATCAGGGGCCCGAGATGGATGACCTAGATCCTGGCCTCCAGAAATGCAACTGAGTGCCTGGAGCCCAGAAGTGCCTCAATGGGCTGAATTTACACTCTCCAAGGCAGAGGATGACAGCATCTATCTCCAGGGATCAGAGGCAGGAAGGAGGAGGGGCTTCCGCTGTTGGCTGTCTAAACGGGGGACCAGGAACCCAAGAAGGAACCATACGTCATCCTCACACCTCTCTCTCCTCTGGGTCTTCCTCCCCAAATGAGCAAGAGGACACCCTTTCCCAAAACACCAACAGCTTGTCTTTGAGAGCAGAAAGGTGGAGGCACTGGGTGAGGCTTTTCATTACCACCTATGGAAACCCAAGAGAGAGCTCAGGGTGGCCACTTCACAGGCCTGAGGAAGAGAAGCGCTGAGGCAGTGCTCACAGCCCCCACACCCAGAGCTCAGAGTGGTGAATAGCCCTTGGTCACCTGGAAAAAAAAGGCTCGTCTCTGTTGTTCCTGCAGGGTCTGCTTCAGCTGCTCCACATCGCTCTCCAACTTCAGGTACTCATTCCAGGCATTTTCCATCTCCTGTTGGCCAAGGCAAAGCTGCTGGTCCCTAGTTATCCCCCATCTCACTTTTACTCCCCCCAGGCAGTCTTGAGACTTCTGTAGACCCAGCCAGAGGGAGAGAGAGGGAAGGTGGCCCAGTGAGCCTCAGGCAGTCCTCGTGGGAGAGGAACAGGAGCAGGAGGGAGTGTGGTATCTGACCCTGGCCACCAGAACTGTTCCCTCTTCCCTGCTCTAGCAAAATAGCCAATACACCACATTAGACTGACCTTTGAAAAAGTGGAAATCCTAACATCTTAAAATTAACTGCACACAGATCAGACCAGAGCCTCTGGGCAGCTCTGAGAAATCTGGTCCCTTGAGTGCCCAGGGGTCACTGATAGAAAGCAGCCTGAGGCACAGGTGGAGACAGACATGTCATCCCTGGACAAGATGCTATCAGGAGGCAGCCTGGAGAAGTTCTGCTAATTTAAGACATTTGCTCCTGGCCACCAACTCAACTACCCCTGGGGAGGAGATGAGAATGGCAGGCAGGCCGTGGCCAGCCTGTCCTGTGGGAAGGTGTCTGTCCTTCTCAGCCCGCACGCACGGTGGATTCTCTGGAGAGCTCAGCTCGGATGTGGACCAGGTCCTCCTGCAGCAACCTCTGCTGGTAGGTAATCTTCTCCAGGTGCTGCGGCTGGTCTCGGTACTGCTCCATCTGTCTGTGTAACACCTCTAGCACGGATTCTAGCTGATCCTGCACCAGGGAGGGGCCAAAGAGCAAAAGGATAGGGCATAGTCCCCACAGGCCTCCCCATACCATGCCTGGAGTTAAAGAAGGCTGCTGGATCTAGCCCAGATAGAAGGGGCCAGAGCTGAGCTGGAGGCTGAGAGGCAGGGCCCCTGATACCAGTGCTGACTCTGTCCACAGGGTAAGGCTCCTAACAATGGTGTGCCTCAGTTTCCTCACCTAGAAACCGGGTATAAAGCCATTTAACTTCTTATGGGATAAACTATAAGGATAAATAATCAAGGAGTTGATGGAAAACTTTGTAAGCCCTCTGGGAAAAAAAGGTGTTATAAACTTTTAGCATTTAAATAAAATTCACAAAGAAAAAACTCAACTTTAAGAGTCTAAGAAAGCTTACACTGCTGGCGCCAGGCCCATTCCTGCCCCTCCCACCCATCAAGACTTGCTGCCTCCACAGCCCAGCTTAAGTAGAAAGAAGCTTTAGGAGTTTCTGCTCTGTTACGACTACAGCCACCTCCAAGGCAGTCCTTCCCAAGGGCTCAGGTGCCAAGCAGGTGGAACTCTCCTCCCAGGGCCACAGTTGGAAGAAGTAGGCCAGGGCATCTCTACAAGTGATCCCCTACTCATTCCTCAGGCTCAGAAACCTCCAAGAAAAACCTCTGAACAAAAGGCACTGCTGTGGATAATAGCACCTATTGTTCAATACTATCAGGAGTACCCAGGCAATGTCTCAGGAAAGACAGGGCACAATCTGTCCCTCCACCTATCCCAAGATGATGCAAAACTGATGCCTACTTTGTTCTCCTTGAGGGCTCGAATCTTATCTTCCAGGTCCTGGAGGATCCTGTCTTGTTCACAAAAGATGCTCAGTTTGACCTATAAGCAAGAAGAGGTTTAGGAGGACCCAGGACACTAGAACAGGGTGAAGCCTCGGGAGCATGACCAGAGAGCCTCTGGCTACAGAACCATTCAAACCCTGCCAGAAGCTGCCACGCTGGGTCTGGGTCAGAAGGCAGCTGAGGGGTCACTCTGCTCACTCACGTCAATGTCACTCTCAGCAATCTTCACAGGCTTCAGGCTTCGATCCTTGAGAAGGTCCCGGCCTGTCATCTGGGAGTGAACAATTTAAAGAAGACTTAACCATGGGGTTTGGAATCAGAACTCAGGAAGGAAAGTTAGCCCTATGCTGGATGGGTGTGGAATTCGCAAGGCATGAAAGGGACAAAAACTCAAGCAAAAACTGCTTTATAAGAAACTAAAAAAATCTTTTGTGATGCTAGTGGCACTTATAAATTATCAAATTTAAGGGCTGGGGATTTAGCTCAGTGGTTTTGCCACCTGCTGCGCAAGCACAAGGACCTGAGTTCGATCCCTCGTACCAAAAAAAAAAATCAAATTTAAGAAAATGCAAATGTTCAAGTTAGAAGATCATTAATTTTTAAAGCATGTATTTGCTCAAAATGAGTGTAGAGTCAGTATGGATCTCGGAAAATTTGTCACTGCTAAGTTTACTACTGAACCTAGGGACAAAAGGATGTTATAGAAGTCTCTCACCCCCTCCCCAGGGCTGAGGTGGGCAGGCCAGAAGGAACAAGCAAATCCCCTGAGCATTCTCAAGCCTCAGTTTAAAAAGTGTCTCTGAGCACCCCTGTTTGCCATGCATAAGTACAGCATTCCTCACTCCATACTCTCAGGGAAGAGGATCTGACTAAGGAAAGAAGGAAGTTGAATAATTCCCAGCTAAGATTTTTGTTGATTCCTGAATAACTAATGTGAAACTGTAGGAAACCACATGGGCCAGGCATTTAGCTCAGTGGTTTCGCCGCCTGCTGTGCAAGCGTAAGGACCCGAGTTCGATCCCTGGTACCAAAAAAAAAAAAAAAAAGAAAGGAAACCACAAAGAAACACAGAAGTCACCCCAACTTACGGGTCAATGAGATTTCCCATTTCCCATCCTTCAGTCAACCTACATTTGGCAGCATGTTGCCTATCTCTCACTGGCTCCTAAGAAGCTGAATCCAGGTCTTTATTCCTCGCTTTCATTTCTCCCAAGTCTCCTTGTCAAAAGCTGCGCAGGGGTGGCTTTTACACAGATACACCCCAAGGTCAAGATGAGGCTGGGAAGAGCCAGGTCTAAGCACCTCATGTAGAGGAGAGAATATCACCCTGACTTCCATTTGCAAATATGACCAGGAGAAAAGGAGGGTAGGACTAACCACAGCTGAGACAGGTAGTATGTGTGCTATGGAGAAATGGCCTTTGCTTTCTCCTCACTCCATCTAGAAGTTCCAATAAGTCTGAGTGTGATCAGAAGCTAAAATATGTTGGCAGTCACTCCCCTCAGAGCTCAAGCTACCTCATGTGCCCAACTGCCCTATACGCCTCCTCCCTGAGAATCAGCAGCAGCAAATTCAAAGGTCAAGGTCACGGGAAAACAACCTCTGCATGCTTTGGGCATTGGAATGATTCTGGCCTACAGAACCAAGCCAAGCATTCCCAGGATCTCTTTGGTCACACCGTAGAATAGGGACCACTGTCTTATTTATCATGACACAGCCTTGAAATATAAGGCCTGGCACAAAGGCAGGCACTGAGCAAATGCTTACTCAGCTGCATGTAGGTAAAAGGGAACATGCAAGCTAGTGGAAGTTCTTGCAAAGGGCAAAACTCCAGCCAAATTTGGCTCCTCAAACTGGCAGATCATGTGTACATACAGGTATACACACAGTTGTAGAACACACAGACTCCTACAACAATCCACAAACAGTATAGTGTTCTGAGATGGAGGAGAGGTGAGGGAGAGGGAGAGCATGGAATTAATTCTGGTGACCCACAAACAGCTGGACTTTCCAGCAGGATGTGGGCTTTAAACTCAGGGGAACCTGGGAGAACAAGCAGGTGAAAGTGTTGAGGTCTTCACTCTAGGTCACAAGGGGAGGACAACGGGTTTGTCTGTCCCCCAGTGGGCCAATCCTTGGCTCATTTCCTAGGTAGAAAACACTTTCTAATTGAGATATGCTTCAGGGATTTCCCCTTTATTTCACTGAAGCTTTCTATGGAGGATATTTTTTTTTTGATGCTTAAGTAACAAGGCAGAGAATCTAATTGAGCATGCTTCATTTATCTAGCACCACCAGGAAAGAAATGAGATATTCTATTCAAAAGGGGCATTTTGAGAAAGCTGAATCTTCTAAATTAAACTTTCTAATAGAAAGCTTTCTAAATGTATGCCCTTCACTGCCTTCCTAGAATACTGAATATATATTCACTTCCCCACCCCACCCTAGAATATTAGCATTCCCTTTATCAAGGAAATAGATTTCTCTTGTCCTCTGTTAAGTGTGCAGCTTACAAGGTGTTGTGAGTTAGGAATCCAAAGGGCTCAAAAGCTCAACAGAGGTGAAGTACTTATCTCTCTCTCTCCCCTCAGACTGGGTTTGGTGCTCTTCAGGGTACTCCTTCCACACCCTGGGTCTGACACTGCTGTGGTACTTGGAGAAGTAGATTATAAGCCTGTTTACTTATCTGTCTCTAGACAGTAACCTAATGAAGGGTGACTGTGGAGACCAAGATATATTTTTCTTTATCCTCAAGGCCCAGCCAGGGACTAGCATATTGAAGATATTCGGAAAATGTTTGCTTAGTGAGTTCATGAATGTATCAAAATTGGGAAGGTCAGCTCTGATTCCTATGGCATAAAGGCCACAGAGCTTTCTGACAGTTGTTTACACAGCTCTGAGGCCTTAAAGCTTCTGAATTTAGCTCTATTCCAGAGGACAAAGGCTACTAAGAAATGTTACACCCACAAGTAGTATATTAGCTAAGTTTCCTTTTAACCTTGTGCTTTGTGATAGCCATGTTTAAATCCATTTAAGACATCAACAGTGAGTCCTCTCCCACCCACCCAGTATCTGTCACCAGAAAAAAGTGAAAGTCCATGGGCATTTATCCACTTGAAGAAATCTCTGCCTCAGAAGAGAATCAAAGGCCCCCTGGGCAACTTACTTGTTTTCCACCACATCCCAACACATGTTCTTCGGGCTCAGAATGGCCAGATACACCACCTGTACCCCAACCTGCAGCTTCCCTTAGAATGCTACGAGAGCCAGCCGCATTATAGTTCCTATACTTTTGTGTCAGTCAAAGGGGGCATGAGGTGACTGTTTTGTTCTAGTCTAGCTCTGGACTATTATCCAAATATCAACATCCTGCCCCAGAGAAGAGGCCAGGGCCGCAGGGTAATCTGACCTGGCCTCCCTCTAGCTGACCAGTAACTGCTGCTCCCTCCCAAGAAACTCAGGCTCAACTGTATCTAGGTATGCCCTCACCATGGAGGCAGACAAGGGACAATGGAAACATGACACAAGCTGATGATGAGCCAGGAAAGCCCCCCACACTTCGGTAGCACAAAAGATGGGAGTCATGGAACACCACAGATGAGCGGCCCAGACTGGTGCATCAGCCACAATGCTGAAGAGAGCTACAGTTTAAAGAAAATAAACCAAAATGACTTGCGGGAAGCCTGGGGCGATCAGGAGAGCAACTGGTTAAGCAAGTGATGGAGCCAGCACTGAGCCAGAAGCAATGGAATGGCCCCATTTGGAGACACGGATCAGATCATCTTACGCTTCTCCTGGGCCGACAGCCCCGTGCTGACTTCTTCAGCACTTTGTAAAGCACGTTGATCAAAGGTTCATTATTTTTAATCTGTTCCAAACAAAAAGGCAAATACAACAAAACATAACAGGTGAAACATAACATTAAACAACACTTGAAGCAGCCAGAATTTGGGGAAGTGGCAAAGGGGGAACCTTAAAGAGGATGTGCACAGCATAATTATAGTGGACTTCAGTGACCCGACGGGGTCCCAGCTATGGGAACTTTCCGGACTCCAGTTCCCTCCTCTGTAAACTGGGGGACATTCAGCGCTAAGTGACAAGATCATGAACAGGCTGTTGGCATGGGAGAGCCATTTCACTGCCCATTTCCTCCCCAGTGGTGCCACAGCAGGCAAAGGAACATTATAGCAGGAAAGTCTGTGTCTTCCTTGCCTCCCTCATCATACTCTGTGAGATATCAAAGCTTTGTTTAGAGTGGTGCCAGGAGGCATCAGCCTCACTCCCACCCAGCATGTCCACTTTCTGTCCCTCACACCTCCACCTCTACACTTGGACTGCATCTAAAAGTTCATGGCTGATCAACAGTCTCAGATCTTACAGCTCCTTTTAGGAAGTATTGTCCTCACCCTCTAGCACAGTGGATTTCAACTCTGGCTGAAGACTGGAATTATCTGAGGAGCTTTTAAAACGACTGATGCGTTTGTAATAGCTAAAACTTGGAAACAGCCCAAATGCCCATCAACTGGAGACTAGATAAAGAAGATGTGGTTTTTCTATAAAATGGAGTACTACTCAGCCATAAAGAACGAGAAATGAGAGACATTTATAGCTAAGTGGATGCACAATGAGGCCATCCTCTTAAGTGAAATAAATAGGACACACGTGTAAATTCCGAATAGTTTCTCTGGTGTGAAAAACTAAAAGTGTAAATATGGATCAAAATGTATAACTAATATTGTGAAACAGGAAGAAAAGATCTAAAGGAGTAGGGGAAGTGGGACAGGCAGGAGAAAGAAAAGAAGGGAAAAGAAAAAATATGAGAAAAGGAAAAAAATGGAAACAAAGTCTTTGTAAATAGAAAAGGGGGGAGGGGGTGAAGGGAGGGCTGGGAATGGGGAAAAAATAAGAACCAAGATACATCATGTAAAGGTACAAGATCCCAATGATGAATGTAACTGT